TACTATTTCTCGGACGTAAAAGATTGATTAATAAAATAATTTATTATTTATTCAAAAATATGTAGCAAACTGAGATGTTATTTTAGGATTAAGGCTTTCAAATATTTAGAATTTTATTTTTTCAAGGATATATTTCTAAATTAGTTTTTCCGAAACACTTTTACTTTTATTACTTTTCAGCACATGTTTTAGGGATTAAGTTTATAGCATTTTATTACGGTACATCGGTGGGCGATTATCAATTCGCTCCTGTGAGGGGAAGGGGCCTTCCCCCACCATGCGGCCTTGTACCTGACTTCGGGGTTCGGAGCGAACGTAGCACAGCGGGGCGCCCGGTCCCTTAATCCCCCATTAAGCCATCCTTCCTTAATGACATTCTTTAAAAAATATAAATTTCTCAAATATAAACATTTTTCAGTTTTTTTTATTAAATTCAGATCCCTTATTTTATTACGAATCCATACATATGTTGTTTGCCTTAAAAATGTTAATATTTAAAAAATTTTTTAATTTATTATGAACTGACACTCAAATAAATTCATAGTAAATTTGGGCAGTCATCGATTCGCTCCCGTGAGGGGAAGTGGCATTCTCCCACCATGCGGCCAGGGGCCTGAGTTCGGGGTTCGGAGCGAACGTAGCACAGCGGGGCGCCTGGTCCCTTAATCCCTCATTAAGTCATCCTTCCTTAATGACACTCTTTAAAAAATATAAATTTCTCAAATATAAACATTTTAAAGTTTTTTTTATTAAATTCAGATCCCTTATTTTATTACGAATCGATACATATGTTGTTTGCCTTTAAAATGTTAATATTTAAAAAAACTTTTAATTTATTATGAACTGACACTCAAATAAATTCATAGTAAATTTGACTTTCAAGCAAATATATATTTTCCCTAGCTGTATAATCTACTTTTTACTTCAGTTAAATTCTGAAAAAACTTAAGAATTACAATCAGTCAGTTAATAATAAATATTAAACTTTTTAAATACTAACATTTTTAAGGCAAACTACATATGTATGGATTCGTAATAAAATAAGGAATCTGAATTGGATAAAAAAAATTGAAAAATGTTTATATTTAAGAAATTTATATTTTTCAATGAATGTCATTAAGGAAGGATGGCTTAATGAGGGATTAAGGGACCGGGCGCCCCGCTGTGCTACGTTCGCTCCAAACCCCGAAGTCAGGTACAAGGCTGCATGGTGGGGGAAGGCCCCTTCCCCTCACGGGAGCGAATTGATAATCGCCCGTAAATTTGACTTTCAAGCAAATATATATTTTCTCTGGCTGAATAATCAGACTTTTTACTTCAGTTGAATTCTGAAAAAACTTAAGAATTACAATCAGTCAGTTAATAATAAATTTTAAACTTTTTAAATACTAATATTTTTAAGGCAAACTACATATGTATGGATTCGTAATAAAATAAGGAATCTGAATACAATAAAAAAAATTGAAAAATGTATATATTTAAGAAATTTATATTTTTCAATGAATTTCATTAAGGAAGGATGGCTTAATGAGGGATTAAGGGACCGGGCGCCCCGCTGTGCTACGTTCGCTCTGAACCCCGAACTCAGGCCCCTGGCCGCATGGTGGGAGAATGCCACTTCCCCTCACGGGAGCGAATTGATAATCGCCCGACTCAGTTTCGACTTGATGTGCCGCATGGTGGGGGAAGGCTACTTCCCCTCACGGGACGCAATCGACAATCGCCCCAAGAACTCATTTTTGAATAAACCTTTTATTTATGTTAATAAAATAATTTGAGTACCAATTTATTCCTTTCTCCCTCAAATACTATTACAAAAAAATTTGGGTTAATATAAATTCGATGGAACAACATTTTTTAAATTGAAGGAAGTGAATTTATTATTCGGTGATTAAATATTAAATTTGAAGAAGTTAACAATTTTCCCGAATCAATCTACACAAATAAATTAAATATCTTAAATAAATCTCGATAAGCTCATGGGCTTCATAAGTATCGACAGCACAGCTGCCCTAATACAGAAACCTGCTTAATTTAAAAAATATTTTCGCAATTAATTAATAATTTCAAAATTATCAAAGAACTCAGAGAAAAACGGTAGCATGGTGGGATACGAGCCCACGACCTTTCTATTGCCGGTAGACTGCTCCGATCACTGAGCTACATGCACCCCGAGACTCTCCGAGTTCGATACATAACACCTGGCGGATCGTAGAAGGGCACGTAAATTTTTCTCGGCCGAAATCGAAGTCCCCTAGACACTTAAAATTCAATTTCTGAATTTTAATATTTTAAATACACATCCTTATAGAAAATTTCATTGCGCATCTTTTTTTCTTGTGAAATTTTTTGTATCTATAACCGTTTTCGAAATATTTGAGAAAAATTGATTTTTTGAAAACTGCAAATTTAATGACATTTTTCACTTCAACTCGCGATAATTCAGATGATTTTAAATATTTTTCAATGTACCAAAAAAGAAAATATGTCTAAAGATATTCTACGAATGATAAAAAAGGAAAAAAGTTATTTTCTTTATAAACAAAATTGTTGTTAATTTTTTTCTTTATTAGTGTAAAAAACATAAAATACAATTTTCACGGCTCTCGTTTAACGGGCGAATTTTAAGTAACAAAGAACTTTCAGTGAGAAAGTTGTTCATTATGGACCAAAGAAGTTTTCTGTAAAATCACAGGGTTAATAATTTATTAGTGTTGAAATGGTGAATGTTTAAAGTTGATACCGTCCGAATGTGTAGCACGCGTCACTCGCCACAGGTGCTTGGGAGGCTTGGGAGATAGGGATCATAGCTAGGTTATGGCCATCGCGCGTGCCACACGTTCGGACGGTATTAACTTTAAACATTCACCATTTCAACACTAATAAATTATTAAACCTGTGATTTTCCAGAAAACTTCTTTGGTCCATAATGAACAACTTTCTCACTGAAAGTTCTTTGTTACTTAAAATTCGCCCGTTAAACGAGAGCCGAGAAGATTGTATTTTATGTTTTTTACATTAATAAAGAAAAAAATTAATAACAATTTTGTTTATAAAGAAAATAATTTTTTTCCTTTTTTATCATTCGTAGAATATCTTTAGACGTATTTTCTTTTTTGTACATTGAAAAATATTTAAAATCATCTGAATTATCGCGAGTTGAAGTGAAAAATGTCATTAAATTTGCAGTTTTCAAAAAATCAATTTTTCTCAAATATTTCGAAAACGGTAATAGATACGAACAAATTTCATAAGAAAAAAATATGCGCAATGAAATTTTCTATAAAGATGTATATTTAAAATGTCTAAATTCAGAAGTTGAATTTTGAGTGTCCAGGGGATTTCGATTTCGGCCGAGAAAAATTTACGTGCCCTTCTACGATCCAGGTGCTCATATGAAGCCCATGAGCTTATCGAGATTTATTTAAGATATTTAATTTATTTGTGTAGATTGATTCGGGAAAATTGTTAACTTCTTCAAATTTAACATTTTTGAAAATTAAATATTCCATAAAATAGAAATTTGATTAATTAAAAATTCTGTTTCAAATTAATTTTAATTTGATTTTAAAATAATAAATAAAAAATATAAATTTCTGAAAAAAGTAAATAAATTTAATTTCTCAATAAAATTCTTTTAAACCAAATTTCTACTTAATATTGTTTTAGTTAGAATTAAAATTATTTGGAAATTTAAATGAATAAAAATTAAAATACTCAAAAATTCTATTCTTTCAGTAGAATTTGGAGTTTAATATAAATTTGATTGAACAACATTTTTTAAAATGAAATATTCCAGAAAATAGAAATTTAGTTAATTAAAAATTCTATTTCAAAAACTTTTTAATTTCATTTAAAAATAAATCAAAATAAATTTCTGAAAAAAATAAAGAAACTTATTTTCTAAATAAAAATTCTGTTAAACCAAAATTCTGATTAATAATTTTTTAGTTAAAATCAAAATTATTTGGTAAAAATGAATAAAACTCAAAATTTCTATTCAGTAAAAATTCCAATTTAGTATAAATTTAGTTCAATAAAACTTTTGTTAATCAAATATTCCATAAAATAGATATTTGTTTAATTGAACATTCTGTTTTAAATTAAAATTTGAATTATAATTTGTTTTTAATTTTAAGAGCAATTAAAAATTGGGAAAATTCGATTAAATATTATTTTCAGAGTGTTTCTCTCAGTTAATAAATTTGTCTAAACTTGTTAATGGTTGTTAATTGTTAAAATAAATGTTTAATTCGAATTGGTTATGTTTTAGGAATTATTCAAATGCATTATGCGTTCAGATGCGTAATTCTCTGCATATTTGGTTCGCTATCTTGTAACGTGCGTCGTAATAAAGAAATTCTAGGTGATGGATTATTATTTATACTTTCGTTGCAATGGTTCTGACTCTCTATTTCATTGGCGAGTACCTGCTGCATGCTAATTTACCTTTTCTAATCGGGACTTCGTGCCAACTATATTCTGATATGTCAGTTTGTTTTCTCGATATGAGTCTCCTCACCAATGTGCACTTAGAACGTGTTTTAATTTTCACTTTCCACTCATGATAAATATGCTAAATGATCGTTTATCAGTTCATACATAATATGTGATGCCTTGAAAGGGACCAACGAAAAAGAATTATTTTTTCCTCTTCGCTCTCCTTACATACTCTATACACACGGTAAAAGTCTCGTCACCTGTTAATCTTTTTTCCTTTTGCTTTCTTCTAAGTCACCCATCAAGTATTCTAGACTCGTTGAGAAATTTCTTCCCGTTACTTCCTTTTTTTTTACTGTCTTCGTCGTTTAAAGAATATGCTACTTTTTTGGTATTTCAATTTAATAATTTTAGGATTCTTTTTTATTATTCAACACATTCTTTGTGGAATGTTGAGTTTTTAACAAAATACCGTTTGTTTTGTTTTGGTGTTTTTTTCGAATTCAAAAATTGGAGACAAATTCAAAAATTTGAGAAGTGATTGGAGAAAATTTGCATACCGTCAGCGTAAGCAGATGATAAAACTTTGAGATATGGTGATCCTCTTGCACCCCAAGCAGGATGTCTCACGTTATTGCAAGCACCGGAAGGTGTTCTATATTTGCTAGGCGGACATGGACTTTCCATTGATTTGCATGATTCCTTCGTCGTCTTTAATCTGTCCTGCAGCCTGAAATTTAACGTAATAATCAGAAATTTTGAACTTGTATTTAACTAATTTTATTTGCAATTTAATTACAGTCGATTAACGAAATTCAACTGTAATTATTCAATTATTATTCGACTTGATATTAGACTAGAATTTATTTTAGTAATTTTAGTTTAAATATTATTTATTTATTATATTTATTATTTCTTAAATTACCTAATAATTAAAAATTTTAATAATAATTTAACATAACAGTAAAAAATTTTCTACTCAAATTTAACTAATTTAGTTTGCAATTCCAAAATTATTACATTATTTTGCAAATTACATAAAATTTTATATTTTCAAATATAGGTAAACATTAACTTTTAAATAAATTCATATTCAAATCAAAATTTAAAAAATTCACATTTTAAGTACGGAATTAATTATTTTTCTTTATTACTTTCAAATATTGGAATTAAGGGTTCATATCACTTTACACGCTTGAAAATGAAACTATTTTCTAGAATTTTTTTTACGATTCCTATGAATTATAATGATCTGCATCTTTTTTAGTTCATTAAAAAAATATTATTTGTTTATTTAAAATTTAACAATAGTTTTAGACCTGCTGAAAGTACCGATGGCAGCTGCGTAATTGATTTCTTCGATTAGAAAAATCTGAATCACAAAATTCAAGTTGATTTATGTTCAGTAGGACTGTGCTTATCGCCCGAACTAGAATTTTTAATTTTTATGCAAAAATAACAAAATGGCGGCAATTTAAACAAAGATTTTCGAAAATTAAGGTTAATATTAATATTTTTAAATATTTCTAGTTCCGGCGATACATGTGACGAAGATTTTCGTAAAAAAATTTTGAGAATCGTTCCAGTATTTTCTGAGAAAAACATGACGCAGCATGGAAAAATGTGGTTTTGAGAAAAACGCGTTTAAAGTTTGTGTTGTATACTTACATAGCCCGTGTACGCTCTCAAATAGTACTGAAAAAATATATTTTGAGTGACATATTTTACTTTCGAAATCCGTTATAAAAAAAATTTTGATTTTTTGAAGATGACAAAATGGTATGAACCCTTAAATTGTTCGCAAGAATTCAATTATTCTCATAAATAATAATATTCTTTGGAAGAATTCAATTATTTTTATAAATATAATAAAATTCTTCGCATTTTTAAAACTAATATTTCCCAAAAGGATTCAATTATTTTTAAAAATTATAATAAAATTTTTCGAAACAAATCAATTGTTTACAAAAATTTTTGATAAAATTCTTCGAAACAATTAAATTATTTTTTTAAATAATAATATTACTCTCAGGAATTCAATTATTTTTAATACAATTTTAATAAAATTTCCCAAACAGGTTCAATTATTATTTTTAAAAATTTTGTTACAATTTTTTTTTAAAAATTCAATTATTCTCGAAAGTTTTTATAAAATATTCTTTGTAAATTTCAATTATTTTCAAATGTTTCAATTGTTAATTACAATGATTAATAAATACGATTATTCTAAAAATTTAAAACATATTTTTTTAAAGATCAATTACTTTCAAATTTTTAATAAAAATTATTTTAAAAATTCCATTAATTTTAAAAATTTTTAATTAATTCTTCAAAACAATTCAATAATTTTCAAAAATTTAATAAAATTCTTTGCGAAAATTCAATTATTTTCCGTACAATTTAAATAAAATTTTTCGAAAGAAATCTATATTACTTTAAAAAATTTGGATAAAATCCTTCAAAGGAATTCAATTATTTTCAAATTTTCTGATAAGTAATTAAGTACTTCGCAAGAATTCAACGAATTTCAATAAATTAAATAAATAAGAGATAATCGTAAAAGTGTATGGAAAATTTTTTTAATAATTATTAATTTAATAGTTATTATTTATTAATAAATATCGTATTTATTTAAATATTAATTTTAAATACAAATAATTTTTAATTAGAAATTTTAATTAAAAGAAAATTAATTTTAAAAAAATTACAAAAATTAAAATTAAAAAGTTAATTGAAATTATTACTCTATCGAGTAAATAAATTTCAATATCAAGTACAGATTTAACCTCCTTCCGCATATTTTTAATAACTTCCTTTTTATTTAAAATACTTTTTATACTTCCTTGTATGGTCAATATCTTGAAAACAAAACAAAACTTTGAAAAAAATGGTTATTATCAAATACCAAACACCATTTATTCGTTTCCGAGTTTATTGCCTTAAAAATAAAATTAATATTCCTTTCATAAACGATGGATTAATGAATCTTTTAGTTTTGTCTAAACTATTTTAAAAATGAGGAAGTTGTTAACACATTTCTCTTTCACTTTACTTCTAATTAGCTGTAAAGAAATTCTCAGTTTCTAATATTGATCAAAAGATTTATCGATTTATTGTTGATGACGATAATAAAAACTTATTGCTCTTTTGAAGAACTATTTCGATAAGTGTAAATAATACAATTAATAAATATTTGTATATTTTATTGGAGGGGTATTGTGGGTTGGGCTATTAGGAACTGCACCCATTTTTTCAAATTATGTTTTGCATTAAATTTGTGTTTGTTTAAAATTCAATTACCGTAAATTGGTTATTTTTTCTATTTTTAAATAATACTTGATTTGGAATAATATATACGGTTTAAATAGAAATAAGTAATAATTTTCGTGTCTTAAGTGGCAATTTACTTGAATTGATAAATAGATCATCTTTTGATAATTGACTTTGATTAGAAGCTTTCTTCTCTACTTAGGGGAATTGTTATAATTTTAGAGAAAAGATCTACTGTCTGATCAATTTTCCAATATTGTTGCTCTTATACTTTACGGTAAACTTCTTTTTCATGAATATATATATATATATATATATATATATATATATATATATGTAGACTTCGTGTTCGAACTTTTACTTTCATGGTCGCTGTTAGTCAAGAGCGAGAGATAAGTTTTTAGTTCGATGATTATGGTCTAGATTCCCTTTCTTCGATCTTGTTCGTAACACCTAATTACCCTTTAATTATTATCAATCATGAAAGTGAATCGTAACAAAACTTCCTGGCGGGAGTGTTTTGTTTTTTTTTCTATCAAATTTAATTCATAATTCGTTTAATCTTTAGAATTTAATTCAAATTTCGTTCTCAATTAAATTGAATGAAATAATTCACTTGATTTTTATTTAATTGACTTGAATTTAATTTAATCGAATAATTTAGTTGACTCAAATTAATTGAATCGAATAATTTACTTGACTCAAATTAATTGAATCGAATAATGTACTTGACTTAAATTTAATTGAATCAATAATTAAGTTAATTCTCTAAAATTTAATTGAATCGATTAATTTACTTGCCTTTAAAATTGAATCGAATAATTCAGTTGATTTGAATTTAAAAGAATCGAATAATTTAATTCAAACAATAATTTTAGAATTAAAAAGTAGTTTCCATGAAAAAATTTCTATTTTTGTTTCTTCGAATTGAATTTGAATTTCAAAGTCAGTGGGAGATTTTGAAAAATGGCAATTTTTTTGAGAGAGATGATTCTGTAATATAAATGTAATTAGAATTTACAGTCATTAACTGACCAACATCGCCTTCACTCCTTTTCTAGATTCTTTTTCACAATATCCGTTTCAGAAAGGCTTCAAGGTTCTGTCTTTTTTTTTTAAATCAAATGCATTAAAACATGAAATGCAGGTGAAATTAGTTTTATTAATTTTATATTAATAGTTTTCTTTACTTTTCAATTTAATATTCGATAAATATGAAATTATTTGTTGAAAATTAAAAAAAAATTGTTTCCTTACGCAAGAATAAATTCTCTATTTTTCTCAAGTATCAATTTTGAGAAATTGTTTTTTTTCTCTTCTTTTTGTTTTTATTATGTCTAGACAGCTAATTTACATTTATCGAGAGATACGTTAAAGGATTTATACCTAATTGGGAAGGGAAACCTTTGGACTCTTATTTCTATAAGGAAGTCAGTCTAAACTTGACGGATATAATTATTTAAATGACGTGAACGTAAAATCATACAAAACCATGAGAAGGTAAAAATTTTGATTTTAAAAAACGAAAATTTTTCTAATTCCAACGGAATTTGTTTTGAATTAATTTGCATTTATCAGATTTCGTTTCATCAAAAGAATCTAGAAAAGTGGGAAAATAAAATTATTATTTTGAAATTCAAATCATTTGGGAAGTTAATTAAATTCAGTCATTAATTAAGTAGTTACTCGAAAAGAAATTTTTACTTTTGTTTTTTTAATTTTTCTTTCTTACTTTCCTTCCTAATTTGTATCTTTTTTTCACCTCTTAATAATATTAATTATTGAGATTAATTTGAATTTGAGTTTATTGAAGTAAAAAAATTCGGTCTTACCAGCTTTTTGATTGACGAGCAAAACGTTCAGCCTCGATGGCAACACGTGCTCTCGCCTGTAGATCATGGTCTACCCCATATACGTAATCTGTAGGAATTTAAAAATAGTTTCACTTAAATTCAACGATTAATGTAATTGAGTAAAAGTTTAAGGAAATTCCAAAAAGGGGGTTAAAAATTACGTCAATAATTCTCAATAAAACAAAATTTACAATTCAAGGATAAAAATTTGAATTGAGTTTTGTTTTTATAGGTATTCTAATTTAAAAATCAAATTTTTAATTTCTAATAATAAAAATCTGAAAATAAAAATTTTATTTACAAATTTTAATACTTGACGAAATAAAATTGACAAAATTAATTAAAGAATTTCATTTACAAAAATAATGAAACACTTTATTAAACTTCGATACTATTTAATTTAGAAGTAATTTAAAATCAAAATGTTCTATTTCTAAAAATAAAAATCAAGAATAAAAAATTTTATTTCTAAATTTTAATACTTAAAAAATTAATTAAAGAATTTTATTAACAAAAGTGACGGAACATTTAATTACTCTTTGATACTATTTAATTTAGAATAATAATTATAATAATAAATTTAATTCAGAATTCAAAATTTTTAATTTCTAAAAATACTTTTATTTCGAAATTTGTATACTTGATGAAATTAAAGTGAAAAAATTAATTAAAGAATTTTATTAACAAAAATGATGGAACAGTTTATTACACTTTGATATTATTTAATTAACAGATGGTTACTAAATATTTCAATGCAGATTAGAAAGTAGCCTTAAAAATAATTTCATAATTAGGATTATATTCGATGAAATATGTTTATACTTTTATTAAATGATTATTATTTACGATTTGTTTTTTTCAAATAGAAAAAATACTAAGATTATGACATGAAATTCGAATTTTTTTAGATACAATTTGTAAACGTTTGAAAATATAAAAATTTCAAATTCTTTTTTATTGAATTTGTTTTTTATTATTTTTTATTATTTTTGAATTATATAAACAAGTTATAATCATAAAACTTGGGTAATTTCGACGTGTAGAAAGATTTATTTGAAGATTCAATGCTAATTAGATTTTGTCAGGTTGTAATTTAGGTGGAGTTTTATTGTTATACGGGCAATAAATTTCGTATTAATTCTCGTCAAAAATTATGAGAATAATTCTCACACTATTGTTTTGCGATTGTATAATTTAGTAAAAAATATTTAGTAAAAAAAGCTCTAGTTTGCGTAATTCTTTTTGTACGAAAAGAAAAATTTCTTTTTTCTTATCGGGCAATAGAAGTGTTTGATCGAGTGTTAGCAAATTTTTTTTTTATTTTTTTTTAAATATAATTATTTCTTACCAGAGATGTCAATTTGGTGAATCGCTGGGGAAAGTGCAAGGGCTGTAAAAACCACGGACAGCAGTCCTAAGGTGATTCTGAAACACAATTAATTACATCAATATTTAATGACTCTTTGATTTCATTAGAATTATATTGTAATCATTTTAGTTAATTGGGAATAGTATCTATTTAGCATTTCAATTCCACTTCTGAATTTTTTTAAAATTATAATATTCAAAATAATTGGTTTTTTTAGTTTTTGCATAAGTAAAATTCGTTTAAATTATTAAAAAATTAAATTTATAATTTTTCCTAGAAATTACTCAATTTTTTATATTGGGTATTTTAGATAAAAAAAATAACAATTGGAATTTTATATTTAAAATTATTTTAAATTGTAAATAAATTATTATAAAATCTAAATAATATTTATTTTATGCCGGTCTTATTGGTCTATTTTTAACTTACGGCTACTAATAAAATTTATTTATTTGAAAATTATTGGAATTTAATGCATTAGCAAATCTAATAATCTAGACACTTTCTCCTATATTATAAGCAAGTGAGAGAAAGAGAGTGATAGAAATAGAAAATGAGACAAATTGTTAATCTGAAAAAAAATTTAATCCAGTAGAATTATATGTTCATATAAATTTTTATTCTTTCATATCCCCCAGTGTTATTAAATGGAGAATTTTTTTTTGTCCATTTTGAAAATATGATCTTTTTCATTGTGCATTCAAATGTTCCAATGTAAAATCATGTAATATTAAAAAAATAATAAAAAAAAGAAAAGCTCTTTCAAAGATATAGGTATACTATTTATAAACATTAAAGTCAATCGTAAAATTGGAGAGATTCATTTGCAGAACAATAAAAATTTCTTCAGTAAATATATTATTCGTCATTTATTTTATTTGTCAATTGAATTATTAGGTAATTAATGTCTTTATTAAAATTTTATTCTCTTTTATTGTATTACTTCATTACTTCTCTTAATTTATTCTTGTATTTTTATTTTGTTTTATTGCTTTATTTATTTTCGAACTAATACATTTATTTATGGGAGAGTGTTGCAAACCGGACCGGTCTCAATATTTCCGAAATGGCGAAGTTGTCAAAAGTGTTGTTTACAAATTTAAAACAACCATGTTTAGTATACCTTATTTTTTCAATGTGACAGTATTAGCTTGCGTTTGTGCAACGAAGGGAGCAAAAGTTTTTTTTTTAGTTTTTTTCTACACTTTTACGAATTTTTTCTTAAGGAAATTCTGAGGAAATCGTGTAATGTTTCCAAATATTAGGTCTTAGGTTTTGAAGGTACACACCTCAGGAATATTTACCACCAAAATCTTTGATGAATTTGCAAAGCGTTTCTTTTTGACAAACATTTATTCTCAAAATGGGCCTGTGGGGCAAACCGGACCGTTTTCGGTGGGGCAAACCGGCCATAGGATATTTCCATTGAATTAAAGTTTCATAAAAATTATTTTTAAATAAAATGTTTCTTTCATTAAAATATTTACTTACAATGAAGAATAATTATCTTCCAATGATAATTGGACCCTTTAATATTGTTTCTCTGATAATGACAAAAAATTTTATTTTTTTATTAAAAAAAATATTTATTTAATTAAAATTTAATCCCGTATTATTATTTTCATTACTACAACCATTGTTTACATGATTCTTTATGTTTTTTATTATTGTACATAGATTATGTAAATGCAATATTATAAATAAAAAACCAACGGTCCGGTTTACCCCAGGGGGTGGGGCAAACTGGACCTTTTGCAAAATTCTTTAAAGTTAACACAGCAACTGAACAATAAAAGATGAAGTATAGGTGTCTCTGGGAAAAAGTTGCGCAATTAAATGATCTTTCAAACAAGCCATCGAAAAATGAAATCGGTTAATTCGTTTAGTCACAAGAGTAAAAAAAGCCGTTAGTGGCCGGTTTGCCCCACTCTCCCCTATAATTTATTTGGAATTCATAATAATTTGTTTGAAATTCATAATAATTTATTTGGAATTAATAATAATTTATTTAGAATTCGTAATAATTTGTTTGAACTTCATAATAATTTATTTGAAATTCATAATAATTTATTTAGAATTGATAATAATTTATTTGGAATTCATAATAATTAATTTAATTATTAAACAATTATTATATACCTAATAATATAACTATTTGATAATTGAAGTATAAATTACATTTGTATAGAATTCGGTAAAAAAGATTTTTGAATCAATGAGAACTTTAATCTATTTAAATATTTACTTTCTAAATAAATGTGTATGTATTTATTTAGTAAAATGTCTTAGAAACAAAAAGAAATATCTTGAAAATTTTTTCCAGTTATCTAAACAAATGACAATGACTCAAGCACTTTTTTAAATATTTATTTCTTTTCTTTTTTGAGAAAAGGAAACTACAGAAGTTATTTGAACTTTTTAAATTCTTTCTTTTTCTACTGAAATTTTAAATTGTTGAGGAGAAAATTATTTCTTTAATATAAAGAAAATACTTTCGCACTCATCAAGAATTAATTTCTAATGAAAAGTATTTTTAAATTTAATATTTATGAGAATGAGAATATTTAATTGATAAAAACATTTTTATCATCGAAGTTTCATCTCTCCTTCTGTGTGTATATATAATACATATATGAAGAGAATTTAATATATTTGAGAAATAATTTCACAAAAATAGTTGGGAAATATTTCTTCACTTTTTTTATGACATCTCGATTATGTTAAAAGTTTCATAAGAGAAATTTTTAAAATCATTTTCCCTTGTTTTATACACGATAAAAGTTTAAAATTATCCTACTAAATGAACTTTAACTTTCATCTTCATTCCATGAGTTCTATGACAATAATAATTGAGAGAGAAAAAAGAAAGAAAGAAAGAAAGAAAGAAAGACTCTCATATAATTTATTTTTAATGTTTCTTTCTCGTTGAAATTTTAATAGCAAAAATTGCTTGATGATACACCTGAAGATTTTTTTATTTTTGACACCTATGATTTTCTCCCTGTCAATGAATTTTATTGTAAATAAATAATTTACACTTTGGGGGTATTTAATTTTTCAATATTTTTCCATTTCGTTTATTTTAGAAGTCAATTTTTTTATTTATTGAAATAATTTGTTAATTTTTTGTTTTAGATTCTTAAATATTTTTACCGGGGAGAAAATTTCAAAATTTCTCTGAAAAAAGTCTCGTCATTTATTTCAACGTTTAAAACTTTAAGGACATGATATTTTCAAACCCAAATGGATCAAAAAATAGTTTTTAACGCTAAACGTCGATGCCAACTTCAGAGACTTTTTTTCTATATTACCTTTATTTTTTACTACATTTTATATTAATTTTCTGTTCATATTTATATCTTTTTATTAATTTTCTATTCAGTTTTATTAAGTTTTAATTAATTTCTTTCTTTATTATTTATCTGAGAAATAAAGAAAATGTAGCATTATAATAAAAAAAGTTTTTTTTTTAATAAATAAAAAATAATTTTCGCGAAAAATAAATAAATAATATTAACGTATTCAGTAGTAAAATAATAATTATAATAAAGTGACAATGGAAAAATGATTGAAATTGAAATTAATTGTATTTAAATATTATAATTAGATTTTAATTGTCATCGTCTAATTTTCTTTTGTTGAGAATAAATGTTGGGGGGGAGGATAAAGAATTAAATAAGCGTAAGATGTAGATTTGTTTCTAATTGACTTGAAAAAAGTGGGAAATAGAATCTGATACTTTTAAAATACTAGTTCAATATAATATAAATACGAATGCGGATGTTTGTTGCTCTGAGTGTTAAACAGGCTCGACTTTCAACAACGAGTAGCCAGTAGTAATAAAGGTGGGCCTGAATGGGCTTAAGGCTATTTGAAACCAAGTCCAGGGCCTACCACAGCCTCAGGAAATATTTCTCGGTCTTATTTTTCTTTCTTTTTTTTTTAATGTCAAGCTAATATTGAAAAAACTTCTTTTCCATGAAATTCTCAAAATTCATCAAAAACAGATTTTTGAGTATGGTCAAATGAATATATTTTATAATATAGTAAAATGAATATATTTTTGAATAATAGTAAAACAAAATATTGGTAATAGTATTTAGAGGCCTTTTATTTATAAAAAAAACGTAAAAGGCCTCTAAATACTATTACCAATATTATTAAGAAACGGTTCTAAAATAAAATTAATAAAACAAAATATTGTTTTAAATTAGGGGCCGTTCAAAAAATACGTAACGCTATTTTTCGGAAATTTGGACCCCCCCTCCTCCCATGTAACGCAATGTTGTATACATTAGCGCCATTTTTTCTGCTGACTGTAACAAATAGCTTGACCCCCCCTCCCCCATAAAGCGTTACGTATTTTTTGAACGGCCCCTTATCACACATTTTCTATCAAAAAAAAGTTTACAAATTTCACTGCGAAACATGTTATATTTTTGAAGCGAATTTATAAGTCATGTAATTTACATAAATTATTTTTTTCTTAATATTCTCAGTTATCATTGTCCATAATTAATGAATCTTTATTTATTAGATGCAGTTGTGAGTTGTAATCGAAATTTTAATTTCTTTTTACTTTCACTTGAACTAGAAAAGGCGAGTTTTCTCAATGAGAAAAATCATATTATGAAGTGATATTTATAAAAAGAACGCGCAGCTATAATTGTTTTTATTAAAAAAAAAATTGCCAAAAAGATAATTACATTTTTTTAAATTAAAATTTATTTTAGTTTTTTCAATTTATTTGATTTACTTTTTTATTTAGATATTATTTCTATATTTAGTAATTGTTTCAATATTTTAATTTTTGTATTTATTTTTTTGTATTTTATATTTATTTAGGTTTTTATATTTATTTTATACTTTCTTTATATTTATTTAAAAAAATATTGGCATCTTTGGTTAATTTTATTTCTTCTCATTGAATATCATTAATCATTCAGGTGTTGAAAGGGAAGAGAAGAATATATTTAATGACGAAAATTAAATAATAATTTTAAAAAAAAATAACTCGGACGTTTTAATAATGGAAACATATATACTTTGTCATTGT